TGTGAGAGTGAGTGTGTGTGTGTGTGTGTGTGTGAGGCTCGTAAAGAGAGAGGGAACAGCTGCAGGGTCTCTCACAGAACAGACAGATACTCAGACGAGTCATGGGAGAGGAATTCTGTCAAACAAACACACACACAGCTCTGTGTAATCCAGTCACATGTAAACACAGAGTCAGTCTGTCCGTCTAAACACGTGTGTGTGTGTGTGTGTGTGTCTCAGGCGCTCCAGCCGCACACGGGACCCGGACCCGGATAAGAGCTGCCAGTTCCTGATGGGTCAGGGTGAGTGTGACGTCCTCTGATCAGGAATGTGTTATACCGCGGTAAATCTGTCGGCTCTCAGCGCTGGTTTGTGTTGTTGACATGTGAGAGTGCTGCAGACACATGAGCGGTCGCGCCGTCACCAGACAAACATGCTGTTAGAGTTCACATGAGTTTAGCTGTGTACTGTTGCCAGGCACCGGCCTGATGCATTGCTGCGGACTGAGACTCTTTAAATGTGCTTCATGTGGCCACATGTGCATGACCTGTTTGTATTATTATTATTGTGACTAAACTCAAAAATATGAATTCATGTCAGTAAACTCGCCTGATAACATAAGGGCGATAATATATACTTATAATAAATAAAAGAAATAGTTTGCATATTATTTTCAGTTGACAAATAAAGTAAATAATTACATTTTATATCATGAAATATTATTTATGATTGACAAATATTAAATTGCCTAAAACTTGCTTAAGTCTAAGCCACTAGAATCAGTCTGTTTGTAGGTTTATCTCAAGATTTGGTATTGCAGTGCATGCTGAAAATCCACACCAGGGATATCATCGTTAACTAAAACTACCTCAAATGAAAACCATAAAAACATTGTCATTACATGGAATAAAATAAACATTAACTGAAAAAACATATGTATAAAAATAACAAAATAACCCTAATTCCTTTGATTTCAGCTGTATGCCAAGGCAGTGTCATTTAGTTTAAGCCGAAGTACTGAAATAACTTAAATTAAAACTTCATAAAAACTATTTTAAATATATACAGTTTTTTTATGATATCAGTTACGAGTCTTTAAATTATAAACAAGTTGTTATGGTTTTTCTTCTGTATCTAAATAGTTATTCATTTTTAGTTATTTAATACATCAACTTCAACTAAATGAAAATGACGTTTCTTTGGCAACTAGCTGAAATAAGTTTTTTAATATTTTACTCGATGTCCTTTAACTTTTTTTTTTTAAGTAACAAACATGTTTTGCGTTTACGTTTATTCATTAATCAGGCTTTTTATCCAAAGCGACTTACAAATGAGGAACACGACAAGCAGTTCATCATAAAGACGAATAACCCTGAGAAGAGCTCATACGGTTTCAGACATTGTTCAGATGTTTTGTTGTGTGTGTGTGTGTGTGTGTGTGTGTGTGTGTTTCTCACAGGGATTAAAGTGTACATCGATCCGTTCACATACGAGGATCCGAACGAGGCGGTGAGGGAGTTCGCTAAAGAGATCGACGTGTCGTTTGTGAAGATCGAGGAGGTGATCGGTGCCGGTGAGAACCGTGTGTGTGATTGTTGAGCGCGGGTGTGGCGCGGGGCTCGTGTTTCTGCATCAACAGCAGTAATATAGGCCACACATACCTGATGAAAGCACTGCTCACGTTACGCTATTGTGTGTGTGTGAATCTGATAGTCTTCATATGTGTGTGTGTGTGCAGGTGAGTTCGGTGAGGTGTGTCGCGGCCGGCTCAAGGTTCCCGGGAAGAAAGAGAACTACGTGGCCATTAAGACCCTGAAGGGCGGCTACACAGACAAGCAGAGGCAGGACTTCCTGTCCGAGGCGTCGATCATGGGTCAGTTCCAGCATCCCAACATCATTCACCTGGAGGGAGTGATCACAGCTTCCTGTCCCGTGATGATTCTGACCGAGTACATGGAGAACGGGGCACTGGACTCCTTCCTGCGGGTCAGTACCTGTCTGTCTCTCTGTCTGATGTCAGATGTGTCGCCCGCTCTCACCCGTCTCTCTGTCTGTCTGTCTGATGTCAGGTCAGATGTGTCACCCACTCTCACCTGCCTCTCTCTCTCTGTCTCTGTCTGTTGTTGGGTCAGATGTGTTGCCCGCTCTCACCTGTCTCTCTCTCTCTCTCTCTCTCTCTCTCTCTCTCTCTCTCAGTTCAAAATTCAAAGAAACTTATTAGCATAATAAACAGGGCTTTGCCATGCCAAAGCACTGATACACATAACACACATACAGAATAGTACAAACACACAGGTTTCAGTCTCTCTGCCTGTTTGTTTCCCTACAGTCCCTTAAGAAATAAGACCATTGGGATGGTTTGTGTTGAGGAGTCTGGGATCAGATACCTGTGAATCAAGAGTGCAGGAGTGTGCTGGTAGTGAGGGGGTGGGTTGAGAGAAGCTGTCAGCAGCCGGATGATAGTCTGCTGCGGTCACACATTTCATTACTTTTTTGTGATTAAAATGACTGATTTTGTTATGGTAATTTCCAGTTCTGCTGACAATTTGCAGCTTTTTTTATAATTAGAACAACACTTTTTTGTGATTTTTGTGATGAAAATGAAAAGAATGTATCAGAACATTTACATTGTTTTATCATTTGAAAAATAATGATTTTGTGAGTTTTCTAGTCAAAATGACTCTTTTTGTGGCTGTAATTTCCAGAATTTAGCAGAAAATTAGATTTTTATTTTTTGGTTGCAATTGCAAATTTCTTGTCACTTTTTTATGATCAAATTGACTGATTTCGTGGTGATAAGTTACAGAATTTTACAGAAACTTTGCCTTGTTCTTCATAATTAGAATAATGCATTTTTATGATATGCCATATTAACATTTTTACCATATTACATATGGTACATACATACAAAAAATTCATACATGACAGAAAAACAATTAAAGTAGTCATTTATTTTATAATATTTTTTACCAAATTCTGACACAATTATTAAACTACATAGTTACTTAGTTATTTACTATTTTTGTTTTTAAAAATAAGAACAAAGAAGCAAATTTACAAACAACAGTGCAAAGATACAAATGAAATAAAGAGTATTTTAGTTTTGGTATTCATGTAGACACACAGAAAATGAAATAATGGCATGTAAAGTTAGACCGCGCACTCACAGGAGAGAGAATGGTGGTGATGTGCTGTTGATGATGTGTGTGAGCGTCAGTGTCGTAGAGCTCAGAATCTGTGTGTGTGTGTGTGTGTGTGTGTGTGTGTGTCTC